TTTTTTTTTTTGCTTTTGGTTACAGGCTCCAATTCTTTGATTTTACTTTCTCCCTTTTATTCATATAATCAAGTTTATTTTAATTTACTTTGTAGCGCCGTGTTGATTTATTTCCTTGTTTACTGCTCTGCAATTCTTGCTTTAAACTCCTGATTTAAACCGTTTTTCCCCTCGTGCATCCTGTCCCCAATCCCTGCCTCCAGAGCCGCATCGGGGCACCTATCACCACCAACCACTGTTACCGGTTATCGTCCTAATTCCTAACCAGCGACTTCATTCCTCCCCACTATCCTGGCCTCAATCCCGTCCTCTGAGTTGCATCTGGGCCTCAATCGCACTCTCTGAGCTGTACCAACCAACACTCCCAACCACGTCCAATTCCCCCACCTATCACCCCCCAGCCACGTGATCCAGCCTCCAGATACTGGGCAGCGCTACCCTGCGCGTCTGGCAAAGTTCCAGCGAGCGGCGTCGCGAAATAGTATTGGCAGAGATAATAGAGCAAAGCGCTGGAAGGCCAAAGCATCACAGATTAACTACCAGCCGAGCCAAGCGGTGCCAAGCGGAGCTGAGTTTTTGTAATTGCCAGTTCTTGTAACTACATACAGGAAGTCTGGACGGCGTCGGCTAAACTGGATAGATTTCCCAACATTCTCTTGCCAGCAATTAAAGTTTGGCTTAGTCACGCGATGGGCAGTCGCTTACGAATTTGTTATGCTGAGCAAGGGATTTGGTGTTGACTGGCAGAGATAAGCTCACCGTCTTATTATGCGTTTTTTGCAGCTGTGGAATGCACAAAACGCGTATTGACCAGGGGTTGTCTGTCTGTGTGCCCGTGTGTGCGTCTGTCACGGTTTTTTATTATCTCAAGACCTACAAAAGCTACAGGGCTGAAACCTTGGGAACTTAATCTACATGTGCGTACGGGCCCTATTCCCAAAATGGGTGCTATTGCTCGCGTGGCTCGCCAAAATTTTTTTCGGGTAAGTTCATAACTCGGGGATGTGAGATGCTAGAAAGCTGAAATCTTAAGGGGATATTCCCCGTCCGAGTTGGTATTAATGGGCTCAAAACTAGCCCCCAGGTAGGTGTAACACCACGTACGGGCCCGTGAAATTTTTTTTTCGGTAAGTTGATAGCTCGAAAATTTGAAGAGCTAAAGAACTGTAATTTTAAGATAATATTCCCCGTTCACCTAAGCCTCATTGAGCTCAAACCCAGAGGGGGTACCACGCGTGGTACCCACGCACGGGCCCACCAAAATTTTTCTCGGGTAAGTTGGTAACTCGAGAACCTAAAAAGCTAGAACACTGCAGTTTTAAGAGGATGTTCCCCGTCCACTCAAGTCCCAAAGAGCTCAAACCCAGACATCGGGTATGCGTGGTACCCACGTACGGGCCCGTGAAATTTTTTTCCAGTAAGTTGCTAATTCAGGAGCCAGGAAAGCTAGAAAGGTGAAATTTCAAGGAGGTGTTTCCTAACAGCTCTGGAGGCCAGTCTTAATTTGTTTAGCTGGAAACACTTGCCGAAAAAACCGGTGCCGATAGCGACAAAAACTGCGGGGAACTACGCAAAAAACGCATCTTTGCACGGGCAGCCCGTGTGTTGACCAGTTATACTTTCCTCATTGCCGAAGGCAGTACACTGAATTTATTGTGTGGAGTTTTTCTGCAAGTCCAGTCGAACTTGTCCCATGCTTCACCTAAGCAGGAGTGTCATAAGTAGGGGATTCTCCCTTCTGATAATGGTTTTTTAAAATTCCATACCCATAGGCTCAGACTTTTTTTGCTTTTATTCGTAGGCTCAGGTTTGCTTTAACTTAATTTCCTCTCTAATGCTGTGTTGTTGTCTGCAGGGCTCGCCTTCGAGTTTCTGGTTCTCCCCCTCCTCGATCCTCTCTCCAGTTCTTGTCTCCAAAGTATTCAGAGCCCATTTACGAAGGGATGGCGTGCGGTTCATGAGTGGGCTCAGAAGATGGTGGATGGAGTGCGCCAGTTTGTCCCTGAATGTGAATGCAGTTTTTGTGCATCTGCATCAGCAGGGCGGGTTCACTGTGCGTGGGGATTTCGCTGTGGATGATTTGCAGGTTTGGTGTGTGTGGCGATGTACGGGCATCAGTCGATGTCACGTTCGATGAGCGGTGGT